CTTCTCAACTGACTGCTCTCATTGAGGTTCCTTTAGTTGCAACACTCAGAAATCCAACCAGGCTGGCTTAAGACCAAAGGATGGCTGAGGTTAGGGTTGCAGGTTTAGTCAATAAAAATAAAGGATGCCTGGTTAAATATAAGTTTTAGATAAACAACCACTAATTTTCTGTACAGGTAGTTCTCAAATAACTGCATGGGACATACTTAGCTAAAAAAAAAAAAATTATTCAGTGCATCAGAAACTCAAATGTGTCCTCTCTGGCAGCCCTAGGTGGGGTGGGTATTTACTAACTCGTGAAACAAGCTGGATCTGGGAGCTCAAGTAACACCATAAGGATTCTCTCTGTGTCCTCCTGCTCCATCTCTGGGCTTTGCTTTCTGCGGCCTCAAGGAGGATTGGTTATGCTCCCCTTTCTTCCTTCCTCTCTCCTTCCCTCCCATCCTATGCTCAAGCTGACCCGGTACTTCTCATCTACCACACTGTAGTTAGCTCTTCCCTGACCTAGACTGTGCCACCCATCAGGGCTCAGCAGCTTCATATCTGTTCCCCACGTCTCACGGCCCCCCTCAGCCTCTCGGGGCCCCACCAACAGGCTGGGCCCTCGGTCCTGGAGGTCTTCACACATGCTTTTCCCCTCCCAGGAGCACCCTACCTTGACTTTACTCTCTTTTATGTGCTGCTTCTGTTTACCTACTCTGATCACAGTTGACACAGCTCTTCCCAGGTCACCTCTGACCTGGGCATCCAAAGCTGGCTCTCCTCATATAAGCCATTTTGGCTCTGGTCTTCAGTTTCCCAATCAGTTGGGTGAGGGGACTGGCCCAGCCAGTGGCCACAAACTCCAATGAGAGTTTGAGCCAGGATTTAAATAAAGGCTATTGCCCTGTTTGAAGGCAGCAAGAGCAACTGAGCTCTACCTTGTCAGGCAGAAAAGCAGACCCAGTATTGCCAATGCTTCTTTGAAGAAAAAATCGCGGTATGAATGGAAAACTCTCAATTTGAATAGTGGACCCTGTTTGTGACCTCCCAACTAGACTGCCCAGGCCTGCAATCAAGGAACCACCCAGATTCTGGGCACCACATGCATGAGATACCTGAGGTTATTTAAAATGCATTTTCTGGCCACATCCAGAATCTCTGGAGCCAGCACCCAGGAATCTGCATCTCTTAGCAAGATCCTTAGGTGCTTATTATGCTTACTAAAATTTGGGAACTACAAATCCTGGGTTTTCCATTTTAATGGGATCTCACCTTTCATCTACATCCATTACAATGGAGGCAGGGCGGGAGCACCTTCCCGTTCACATTTTCTCTCCAGACATGTCAACCCCTCACCCCACGGCAACCCTGGAACAGAGCAGGTGGCGGTGCCAGAGCTTTACAGAGCAGGAGCTCCTGCCACCTGCCCATCACTGTGCCAGCTCCACTGGAGGCAGGGATCACAATGAGAAACCTGAGGCTCTCAGAGGGGTGGTCACTTGCCCGAGGTCACAAAGCCATCAGTGAAGGACCTAGGGGTACAAATCGCAGTCTATACATCAAAGCACCCTGGAGAGCCTTCCACCAGGCCAAACTCTCTCCCCTGCCAGGTGGAAACAGACATAAGGTCATCTTCTTGTTGAAAGGAGACTGTTGGTTCAGAGTCCCTCTTTCTTCCTGATCAGCGGCTAACTCAACAAGCATAAAGGGCTGATCACCTTATGATGGGGAGAAGGATACAACAGGGTCACAAGGAGGGGAGGAGGAGAGTGTGTGGCTTTGATGCAAGTGGATGGCTCCTGGGGACAAAACAAGAGCCACCACAGATATCAGCTGTGATGGACTCCTCACAGAAATGGGGATGGTGGCTGCCCGCTTCTCCCCTTCACCGCCCAGCCCTCACGCCCTCCTCACGTCAGGATGAGCTTGAGCTAAGTATGATCAGGGCAAAGTCCTAAATCACAGGCCCGTGCAACTGGCAGCTGAGGGGCCCTTGGCTGCAGTTTCCTTCTCTGGGTACACGGGTCTGGATCAGCGTATGTGCTTCTCATTTGGCCCCTGCTTCGGGGACGTGCAGGCTCACGGTGAGCATTTGAGTCCCCACCACGTGCTTGCTCTGTGCTGTGCTAGGCACACACACCTGCAATTTGGTCTGTACTGCTCTAACGGAACAGAAACGTCTTATTGTCCCCTGAAGTGCTCTGGGAACAGGGCAGAGAGAGAGGTGACTATCTGGGGGGGGGGATGTCTCTGAAGGAAGTGGCCCTGAAATGAGGCTGAAGGGGTGTCAGATCAGAGCCATACAGAGAGAAGGAAGGGCATTCTCTGTGTGCAGAGGAATGCAGGTGGGTTCCAATCCAGCCCTGCTGATTCTGCCTCCCAAACACTTCCTGCCTGTTTCCTTAAATCCAGTGCACCTCGAACTAGTCATTCATATAGCCCCTTCTATAAATACAATAAATAAAAAAATATTCATTTCACATTTTTCTTTAAGTCAGCATAACTCATTTTTACAAAACTTACATTAGGAACAATCTTTCACAACAGTAATTAAAAAATAGATTTCACTTGTAAATAGATGGTCGCTAGAAAAATAACACTGAAAGCAAGATAATACTACTGAAATCCAGCCAAGGTTCTGCTGCCAGGGAAGGTGCAGAGTCTGCAGCCTGCGCTTTTGTCATTAAAAACAGAGAACAGGCAAGTGTGAGAGATGCATTGGGGACACCCCAGCACCAGCCTGAGATTTTCCCCTGGAGAAAATCAGGATTGAGACAGGACAGACACAAGAAAGATACTTGCTTTAATGCTTTATATGTTTCCCGTTAAGGAAACCCTAGAATACCGGGGTCCCCACGCTTTGAGAAACTGTCTGGGCCAAATCCTGAGCCAGCCCCAAGCCACAGGTGTGCCTCCATGGTTTCCTGCACATTGCTAAGTTTGCAACTGTGTTCTTGGGAGATGGTGGACTCCAGGGCGGTACCTAGGGGCTATCCCAGTGGGAGAGCACCCTGCAAGACAGTAACCGCCACAACCCCCACAAGAGCAATGATCACCTTCATAGCAAACATTTACATAGTTCTTATTGTATACAAGGCCCTTTTCTAAGAATTTAAACATATTAAATGACTTCACCCTCCCAAAGACATCAAGGATGATGGGACCATTATTATTCCCATTTTATGGATGAGAAAACTGAGACACAGAAAGCTTAAACACCTGCCCAAGAGCAGATTTATCCTCTTTATATATTAGATCCCCATACACAATCTCATTACTTTCATCGGGTCATTCAGCAGACATGCACTGAGTATCTTTTATGTTTCTTTCCTTTTCACTTGAAGCAGTACTTATTTGTATTGAAGCACTATGTTTCCAGCTCTGCCCACCCTTTGACTTATATCCTTTGCTCCCAGCATCCTCAAATGGCTTTCTGTTGCCTCTGAGGACTGTGCCACGATGCACAGCCCAGAACACCCATGAGGACCCCGGCACCTGTTCTTCTGGCTTCCAGGCTGGTGGTGGCTCTCACTGAGCCCTTCTCTGGGAACCACATAGCCTGAGGGGAACCATGTGGCCTTAAGGTCCATTCCCTTCATTCTGGTTGGGGCGAGGCACAGCTGGCAACTAGGGACAGACCATGGTGGGGGAATGAAATGAAGATCTCTTGCATTGCTTCAGGACCACTGTTGGGGTTGCTCCCACTCTGAGTTCCGCACAGGGTGGCTGAGGCCTCCGTTGTGGCTGCACCACGGACCATCTTCGCCTGCCAGGCCTGCTTCTCACGCTCTCTCACAGGTGAGGTTCCTGAGCCTTATCCCCAAAATGCCACCCTTCTGAGTCTATCGCCTGAGAAACCCCACCTAAGATACTGTACAAAGGCATCTGCCCCCATCCAAAGCTGCAAACAGCCCATCTTCCCAGCGGTCCCTCCTCAACTGAGACCCAAGCAAAAGGAACCCCAGTGCATCGGATCTTTCTGAAGGCTCTTGGTGGCACTAAGTCCCTAGGGTCACCTCCACCTCCACAAGCCCTGAAAGCCTTGGAGGTGGTTGAGTTTCATTACTTATGTTTTCGTACATTAGATAATTATCTTTGTTCCCAGGCTCCATTACTGTTTTCTCAAGTGTATCGTGGCCTCGGCTCTAATGACAGGCAGCCATACAAGGCTGGCCTGGGAAGATGCTCTTTCAGGCCCACAGGGATCATCTGAGGCAGGAGAGAGGAAGGCGAAGGGGGTATTGGATTATGGGGTATCAGGGAAGGGTCACTGCTCCCTTACCTGTGTCTGCCTTTGAGCAAGGGGAGAGCAATCAGCATTTCCCCTCCTTATGGAGGCAACCTTTCTGAGCCAGGCAGAGGAGGGCCTGAGTGGTTAAATGACCCACCTTTGTTCTATTATTAAATGGCCTGTCTTTAAAAATAGCCTATATATCTGCCCTAGGTTTGATCCCTAACATTTCTTAAATTTAATTCCAAATTACTGTCTCAGCAATTCCGTAGGCTCCCTACTGTAGCCTAAACCCAGCAATAAAGGCAGAAAAGAAATGGAATTAGAACCTGTCTTCTACAGAGGTGCTTTTAGAATGTGGATGTGAGGGCTTACAAGTAATCCTACTTAGCATAAACCAGGCAGTGGGACTCAGTCTGAAGGGGCTCCAAGGTCAACACATCCAGCCCTGCTTTGAGTCACAGGAGTAAGGGCCAGGTAGTCCAGATGCTGTCCTTCGAAGAAAAGAGCAGAGAAACATCAGAACCAGGTAGCCTGCCCTCTCATCACCTCCAAAGGCCTGGATGTCACACCTACTCAGTGAGTACCTACTAAGTGCCAGGGCATGAGTCAGTGGCTCTCAACGTTTATGGTCTTCAGATGCTTAAAAATTTTTGAGGAAAGGCCCTAAAGTGCTTTGGCTGCTATTTATCATATAAGAAGCTAAAACTGAAGAACTGTATGAATATTCAGTCATTTATTCATTTAAAAACAGTAACAAACCCATTACATGTTAATATGTCACATATTTTCATATTTTACAAAAACTATTTTACAGAACGAAGATGTTTAGTGAGAAGAGTGACACTGTTTTACATATCTTCAAATCTCTTTAAGGTCCAGCTTAATGAAAGACAGCTGGATTCTCAGATCTACTTCTGTACTCAGTCTGGTACCATAGCTTGTCCTGGTTAAAATGCAGAGAGAAAACCTAGCATCACACAGATACATAGTTGGAAAAGGGAGCAGTATTTTAATAGCCTTTTCAGATAATGATGGATATTCTTTGGTACTACAGTCACACTTGACAAGTTTTGTTGTTGTTTTTCAAAGACCCTATTTATTCATTCATGAGAGACAGAGAGAGAGGCAGAGACACAGGCAGAGGGAGAAGCAGGCTCCATGCAGGGAGCCCGATGTGGGACTCGATCCCAGGACCCCGGGGTCACAACCTGAGTCAAAGGCAGATGCTCAGCCACTGAGCCATCCTGGTGCCCCTGCACTTGACAAGTTTTGGTTAAGGGTTGTTGTGAGGTAAAATCTGAAACCGTGTAGCTGAACTTTTCTACTCTGCAACATTAAAATCCACTGGTCTGTCTTGTACTTTTTTTTTTAAAGATTTATTTATTTGAGAGAGAGAAAGAGTGCACACATGCATGCATGGGGGGCAGGGAGCAGAAGGAGAGGGAGAGAGAGTCTTAAGCAGATTCTGTGCTGAGCACGGAGCCTGACCCGGGGCCGGATCTCATGACCCGGAGACCACAACCTGAGCCAACATCAAGAGTTGGACATTCAAATGACTGTGCGACCCAGGTGCCCGTCTTGCACTCTCGATAGGTCTTTTACCCATGTGTGATTTTAAAATATGTTGATTGTTTATTTGAAACAACTGCTTCACTGACTCATACAGATCTTCCAAACATGTGCACATTTCATTATATAGTATCAAAAATTCCAATTCTCCAGTTATCACTGCAATTCTCTTCCAGGACATTCAATGAGAAGATGTCAAGTTCAGAATGGCAGATAAAGTTTTTCCAAACTTCTGATTTTCACTTAGCTTGAACCTTCTCATTGGTAACAGATACCGCCAGTTGCTTTCCTTAAAATGAAAGACTCACTTAACTAATTTTTGAGAGAGTATCTGCCAAATACCCAAATCAGAATAACCAGTGTTTGTTATGTGTTCTTTCAAGTAAAAAGCACCTGTCATGAAAAAGCAATGACTAATTCTGCTCACAATTCCGTCACACACATGCTTTTTCTCAACATTACCTTGAACCATGGTGCTTTTGTACGCAGCTGATGTGCTTTAAATGTACTTCCCACTTTTCTTTATACAGATTATTAAAAAGACAAGGGTCGACATTTCATAAAGTTAATCATTTTACTGCCTCATTAAGGACAGTCTTTTTTTTTTTTTTTTTTTTTAAGGACAGTCTTAAGTGAAGAAATTGGCATGTGCTTTAATGCAACTGTGTGATGGTAATGAATACAACGATTCCTTATACATTTTGATGCCATATCCTTGATTCAAAGCAATGCCAGCAGTTTTACCTACCACTGCTACAAATGTCAATAGAATGAAAAATGCAAATAATATCTGAGAGTTATGAAAACAGTTTTGACCTCAAGGACCCCCTGAAAGTGTTTTGCAGATGCCCAGGAGTCTGTATACTACACCTGGAGAACTGCTAAACTAGGAGAGTGCAGTAGATATTGCATCTCTGGAAAGTTCCAAGCTGTCCAAGAAGATAGACTATAAACAGGCCCAATTACCATATGATGTAAGGAGGGCCAGGATGGAGGCATGGCAGAGAGAGCAATTTGTTTTGCACTGTGGAAACTGGTTTTGCAAAGGTTTACCAGTGTAGAAAACTTTTGAAATGGGTCTTGAGAGTTAAATAGGAGTTCGTCCAGAAAGAGAACGTGGATCTCTATATTCCCAGTTTCAGAAGAACAGGTCGTAGAAAGGCAAGACCTTTGGAAACAGGTATAAAAAAGAAAATAAACAGGAGAGTTCACATTATTAATAAAAATAATATTAGTCACCATCACGGAGCAACTTACTATATACCTCACACTTTATCATATTTAATTCTCTCCCCAAACCTATGTAATTATCTCTTTGTTTGGAGAAGGTGGGTAACTTCCTCAAGGACACAGAGCAAATTCATAAGGAAAGTCCAGATTAAAACCAGAACTGCCTGCATTCACATATGTCAAGTGCTCTGAAAACTGCCTGGCACTCAATAGTAAGTGATAGTAAGCACTCAATCTGTGTGAGCTGCTTTTGTCTTCACTATCATCATCATAATTACTATTGTTAAATATCGTGAAGGGTAAAGGAGTAAGCAAGCATATTCCTGCCTGGTATCAGTTGCACGGCCCACTTTCCAATAGTAAGGGCAGGCTCCATTAGCAGCATCCATTTTAAGCAGGTCTAGAAGCACAGAAATAGGTTCAGATATTACTTTGGTTTTTCCGCAAGCAGTTCTATTCCTGAGGGTTTATTCAGTTGGGTCCCTCTGTTCTGTGCCTCCTGCCTGCCAAACCTGCGTGGACCTGAGCAGTCTGAAGATAATGGAAGCAGGCCTGACAGCCAAGTCCTGGGGAGGGCCCCGGGCACTCAGAGCCCTGATTAAAAATGTGGTAGGGTTGGCCATGTCTCAGCTGAGTCTCCTTCCTTTTTTGGTTCTGCCCAGCCACCCTCCGTGGGCTCCTTGGATGAGGCAGCCCATTCAATCCTGCTGGGCACCTGAAAACAGAAAGATAACAGTGCATTACACTTTGATCTCTGTTGCTGTCACTCTAATAAGCAGGCAAGGAGAGCTTCCTGTCCCTGGGCTCTGTGCTGCCTGCAGCAGGCCGGCAGGTTGTTGTCTGTGCATGGTTTGTTTGTCAGGTCAGCAAACAGAGTGCCACAGAATGCCGGCTGCCCTGGGTTTGGTTACTCTGTTATTGATACGTGATGAGCTCTCGGCATCGTTGTGAGTTCTGAGGGTGGAATGTTGTGTGGGAGCTCCAGAGGGCAACTCAAGAAAATCAGTCACATTGGGGCTCCCAGGTCCAATTTCCAAATGGTTCTGGCATGTGGGGACCTCTATAGAGATGGGGAACAGCTCTGTGTGAAGACTGCATGGAGATGATCCATCCTTTCCAACATGCTTTATCATCTTTCTAAGATTGGTATAAATGTTCTGATACTGCCAAGGGGTTCAGTTTCTGTGGCCTGGGCTCAGCCATGATGGTGATGCTAGTACTTTCTACATGTCAGCCCCTGGGTGCCACACTTCACATACATTATTCAGTTTCATGCTGAACACAGCAATTGGGAAGACTCCAGATAAGTCACTTGCCCAAAAGCCACCTCTCCTAGAATCGGGAACCAGGACCAAGGCCAGAGTGAATAGCTGCCCCAGAGTGAGTGCTTTCACTCTTCTGTCTCCCCTCCCAGTCCTCTTTGCCATCAAGCTTGGCTGAAATAAACTGGGGCAAAGCTGGAACCAGTATTTTGAGGGTGTCTGTACTTGCACCAGAACTTTTACCCATGCATTATCCCACTTCATCCAGAAAATAGCCCTGACATAGGGAACATCACCCCCATGTACAAGAGATGATGCAGAGGCCCAACCTGTGGATCATTTTGCCCAGGTCCACAAGTCTCAAACAGAAGAGGATCCAGACTCAGATCACTATGAACTCTAAGTCCATGCCCGACCTGTCACCCACACTGCTTCCACTGGGAGCACCAAGGGAAACATCTGTGCTATGAGCATGAGTGACAGGGCTGGTTGCTTCGAGAGGGAAGTGGGAAGGTAAGGTCCAATTCAAGAAAGGTCCCATGGTAGGGGGCTGCCATGAGGAGGAAAAGGTTAAAATACTGGTCAAGAAGGCAGGTCTACACAGTACAGGAATTGGAATCTGGGGAGGGACAGGTGCCCACCTCTCCAATTTCAGATCATTCCTAACTCCAAAGCTCAGTTTAAGCACCACACTATTTACAGAGCCTTCCTCCAGCCCACTCTGACCCTGATGTCTACTAGCATTTGCAGCCTGAGCCATTCTCTCTGCCTGAGAACTGCATGCAGACAATTGCATCCTGGGTCTGTCTCCAGTGTCTCTAGATAAAAAGTTCCCAACACACAGGAGGTTCCCATTGAGATAGGAAGTTGCTAAAGGGGAGGATGCTGTCCTCTTTATTCCTCTTTTCTTCTTCACACACAGAACCCAGAAGACTAGCAAAAACAAACATATGCTCAAATCAATACATGGTGTGTTGAACTGTTCCTATGTTATAAAGAAAACAGAGGAACTTCTATAAATTAGGTCAGCAGTGCCAGGGTTATCTGATTTCTCTCTAACAGTGAGTCTCCTCATCACTACTGTTCCTCAAATCAAAGGCAAATAAATGTGGACTGAAATACAAAGGAAAGGAAGGAGAAGTGGGGAGAAAGGAAGAAAGGGGCAAGAAAGAGGAGGCAGGAAGAAGAGGAGAAAGATGAGGGGGAGGAGAGAGAGGAGGGATGAGGAGGGGAGGAGGGGAGGAAGGGAGAAGAGGAGCAGGGGATAGAGGAAAGAGGAGAAGATAATGAGAGGGAGGAGAGGGAGGATGGGCAAGAGTTGAGGAGAGGGAGGAGGGGAAGGTGTAGGGAAAGGAAATGAGGAGGGGGAGGAAGAGGAAGGAAGAAGGGGAGAAGGAGGATGGGGAAGATGGGAATCAGGAAGGAGGAGGGGAAATAAGGGGGAGGAGGATTTTGCTCTGGAATGGGACATAGAGCTTAAAACTGAAATGGGTACAAAATCAGATTGGTGACAGAAATAGCACTCTTTTCTCAAGCATGAATTCTATTTTGCCTTATCTAAAAAGAGCTTTTTCTGCAATACAAACTTCCCCTTCTGTGCCTGCTTCACCAAGATGTAGGTATAATTGACTTCACCGAGTATGAAAACCTAACCCACCATGGAAGGAACTATATTCCGGGCTTTGTCAGGTTAATCTCCACAGAAATCTGGTGACAAAGCCAAATGTTGAAGGAAAACAGAACAGACAACCAGAATTTGCAGCCCAGCCTTCTCTGGAGTGGCCCAGCCCAGGCCTGGGAGGGTGCTCCAAACAGTTGGGTGGGCAGGCTCCCAGTCGACAGTTAACACCTTGGGGACTTCGGTGTCCACTGCAATGTTCGACTTGGGAGATGCTACACATATGTCACCTGTTCACATCTCTTGAGTTTACAAATGCAGTCGACGACCATCAAACTTAACCACTTTCATTAACATTAGGATTCACCAGCTGATCTCAAAACTGGAAAGATTTCAGACTTTCCCTATAACATAGTTTTCATTTTCATTTTTTCTGGCATGTATTATGAATAATGTTGAAACTCACAGATGCTTCAAGCATTCTGGATATTTTTGTGTGGTTTGAACCTTATCTGAGCATTCATACCTGTACTGTGAGGTCAGGTTGGAGCACATATGAATCTGTGACATATGTGGCAGGTCTTGTTCTTGTCTTTTTTTCTCACTTACCATGGCTCAAAATTACATATCTTTGGCTTGCCTATATTGTGTCTGTTCATCCTCCTAAAAATACTGATATCCATAAAGACCAGAACCATTTCTATTTTGTTCACCACATAGTTCCCCATGTATAGCATACGACCTGACATTTATATAATGCACAGCACATGGCAGGTGCTGCACAAATATTTTCTAAGTGAATGAATGAATGGTTGAATGGGACTGGATTAAATGTCCCTTAGCTTCGTAGCTCCTTGAAACACAAAGAGTCTCAGGCTCCATATCACCAAAGCGCCCTTGGCTGCTTGAGCTCAAGTGGGCAGCCCTTTGTGTGTTGGCTAGTCATGTCAGTACGGTGTTGGGACCCCAGATATGACCTCCAGGGTGGCTGCAGGTCCTTGTTTGACACAGATCAGACCAGGGGAGGCTTGGTCATAAGGGTGAGCTCAGGCTGGGGCCCTGGAGGACAGGCCCACCATGGAGTTTACTTGACCACTGTCCCAATCAGGACGCAGCTTGGGAAGAGCATCTCTGACTTCAGCAGCCTAGATCCTTGGCAGCCAGCACCAGTATGTGCTCCACACAGGGTGGGTAGCAGGAGAGCCTGGTGGCAGATAGGAAAGTACATCCTCCAGAGCCAGGCATGACCTCAAGGTCAGGGAGACATGTGCTTATGAGAGGGTGGGCCATACATAATAATGTGGTGTCTGGTGGTGCCACATCTCTATTTTGTAAGACCTGTCACAGCGGGTGTAGGACACATAGGGGTCTGGAACAAGCCTCAGGGAAGACCCCAGTGACAGTATTCCACCCGCAGCACATGTCCTGGACTGCAGGCCCAGCACCAACCCTCCAGGTAGGCCTCCTGTGAAATGATCTCTCCAATGAACCCATCCGCTACCCTGTCCCACCACCCCACCACTCCATCAACCATGGACACACTACTACGCCTCTGGGCAAGCTTGTTCTCACTTCTAAGTCTTGATTTGCTCCCTCCCTGGCTTCTTTCCTCAGGTCTGACCAAGGCCAGCTCCTTCTTATTATTGGGTCTCAGTTCAAACAACGCCTCTCAAAAAGAAGCCTTCCCTGACCCCCTCCCGACCTAAACCCAAAATGGTTTTGATTTTGATTTGGCTTGTTTATTTCTTGCTTGCTTGTCAGCTCCAAGCCCATGCCACCTTTCACTTACTCCCTAGCCCAAACCCCAGTACACAGCAGTACACAGAAGGCACCTGATAAACATGGTACAGATAAATGAAGCAGCAACTGAGTGACTGAGTGAATGCATGTGGTCAGTTCAACAGTGAGGACCAACACAGCTTCCCAGGGGCCATTCGATGCCAGGCCTGTCCAGTAACAACACTAATAATCTCAAGTCCCCCAGGGATGGTGAAAACAAAGCTCTCAAGAAGAATCTCCTGGTCAGGATGGGCTCTGTTTCCAGGTCCTAGGAAGTTTTTATTATGATTCAATAATGACTATACAGCCAGCTCTTGGACCTGTAAGCCTTTAATTCACAGCTTCCCTCTGAGTGGCCACCATGGTGACTCCCATTTCACAGACAAAGAGCCATATTTGGGGAGATTGAGCAATTTGTTCAAGGTCTCTCGGCTATGAAGTCAAAGACCTTATTCAGCCTCCCTGGTGACCCAGAGCTCAAACACCTCTTTCCCCCTTCCCTGTATATCCATGTGTCAGGCTGTAAGCCCGGGGCCTAGAGGGGGGCAATACAGGAAAGAGAGCTGTTCTGACTCCTTTGCCCACCGAGTATCTACCAGGCCCTTGTTCTGTGTGGGCACCAAGGCCAAGAGACTGAGCCCCACCCACCTGCAGCTCAGTGACACCCACGCTGCAGTGAGCCACTCCACAGTGGTCTTCTAGAAATATTTTTCTTAATTAGAGGTAATTAAAATTCTTCAGGTTTTGATAGTTCTTAAAATTCCTTGGGAGTGGGGGTTGGTGGTGACATATGTGGAGTAAGCACTAGTGTCTACATTCAGGGGAAAGACTTGAGGTGATGATGGGTGGGGCCTTGGCCACAGGCAGGCTGGCTAGATGGGGCTGGCCTCCCAGGGTTCGTCCCAGTTTGGAGCCATTTCCTCCCCAAATTCTGACTCCCCAGCTCTCTAGCTACAAGCTCTGGGCCCTGGCAGAGAACCAGAGGGCACTGGTGTGGGGAAATGTGCCTTGCTCAGCATCTTGTAGCAGGTCCTAGAGTAAAGGCCCATCAAGACC